TTGGGGGTGGGGGGGTGTTCTAGATTGGGTGGGGCGGGGTCTCAGGGAATCTCCAGGGCACAGTGAACAGAAATGTCTGCCAGTCAGCCCTGCACTGGAGAGGTCTCAGCACAGGGACAATGACTGCTGTAAGCACCTCCGTCTGGAAGAAAGCTGCCCCCACATTCCTGCCCCGATGCTAGACAGTCCAGTTTCTCCCCGTATCTGTCTGGGTCACCCAGAGCCTCACCTGGCACCAGAGCTCAAAGCAAGCAGGAGCTTGTAAATTCAGTTTGCGGTGCCGGCCTTTTAAGAGGAGCAGCTGGTTCTCTAGCAGCCTGTCATTCAGCCCCAATCCGCACTGGTTTTCACAGTCAGTAGTTCTTTCTGCAGACTTCTTTTCCCAATTCTGGAACCCTGGGCTGGGGGTCTGGTGTGGGCTGGGGCTCCTTGCTCCTCTAGGCGGCCTCCAAAGAGGCAATCTCCCTCCCAATTAAAAAAGCGGCACACCCAGGTGCCAGACCAGCCTCTTCCATACGTCCACACCTCCTACCAGCTCAGTGTGCTTTCTTTACCTCTCTAGTTGCAGTACTTCCACCCAGCCAGCTTTCCCACAGTTCTGGATGATAGTTGTTCTGTATTTTAGTTGTAATTTTGATGTGGTTGTGGGAGGCGTTTACCTATGCTACCATTTGGTTCCTCCACATTAATTTTTAACTGATATACAACTACGTACAGACTTTTTAACATCTCTGAAATATTTTTAAGAAAACAGAAACAATACTTTCTTTTAATGAAAACATCCATTTAACGAATCACAATGGAAATAAAAGGCGCTAAGACTACCTTAACCTCTGATTCTAGAATAACACTAAATAAAAGAATTCCACTTCAATAGTCAACTACTTCAAAGTGTTTTGAAACTACTGTATCACAGAAGCATAAATGATAAACAACATATGGCTTTAGTCACCATGGACATAGTTATTAGAAATCCTATTCTTTTTCATCTGAATATTCTTTCCTTTTGTTTACTCTAATACATCACCAACATATAGATGATATGTACAGATACAGCCTTCTTTCCCAGGTAAAAAGTGGTATTCATCATATTTTTCCTAAGACAAAATATTTATTCCTTAAGTATATCCTTTACTTAACTATGCCTTCACATAACAAACATGATTAAGTGCAACAGGGAAAAATTAGGTAAACATCAGGTATCACAAAGAACTTGTTAGAGTTTTGAAATGTTCTCCTTGGCACCCAAAAGATAATTGCACACATTAGAACACAAAAAGTATAAGCATTAAAAACTAACCAATTTCTTCTACTTCTTCCAAGAAATCATTATATTCTCTTAGACTAGGAAAGTCTTCTTCTCTTTTATTGTATCTATAAGAGAAAAAAATTAACATATCACTTGCTTTCAATATTATTTAACTAGTTTGTTTATTCTTACTTAATTCATACATGATACACAGAAAAAGATGGTTTACTATATAAAACACTGTTTTCTTGTAACCAGGTTTGTGACTAGACCAAGAATGTTGTTCTTACTAGTATGACTACAGAGAAGTAGAATCAGGAGAATGTGGTATAACACAAAATTCTTCTTACACAAGAAAGAAAAAGAAACTTGAACCCTGAAAGAATGGAAAATGAGCTTAAAACAAGTCTATCATTGGAAATCGTGATACTGGTTACTTCTTATAGATTTGTTAATTTCCAGAAAGCTAAAAATTAATTCAAAAAATACAGTCCAATTTTTCATGACAGTTATAGTCTGAGGAATTTTATAAATATTTAACATACCTCTGAAGAATTGGAAAACCATAGGCATTAATGATAAGAAGAAAAAACAAGAATCTAAAGAGACTATTTCCTAGAAGTAATTCAAATAATAAAAGAGCAGCTTGGGGCATTAAGAAAAACTGGTTAGGTGCCTAGAAAGATGCTGCTAAAACACTGGTGACCAAGGTTGAAGTATATAAATATTTCAATCAAAATATATAAAATAAAACAATAATAGATTAAATGTATATTAACTCTTTAAACTTCCAAAACAATAAGGTAGCTTGTAACAAGACAGATAAAATGAAAGCAAAGCTATTAAAAAATAAATTATAAATGAAAAAGAATACATAGGTGTACACACACACACAGAAATATACAGGGTGTCCCAAAAACATGTACACACTTTAACAGATGATAGCTCAACTGATGTTTCTTTATTTTCAGCCAAAGCTTTGAACAAAGAAAATTCATCCTAATATATCCCAAGAAACCAGAAACACCAATCAGAAAGTTTCCTGAGA